ATACTCCAGGCTTATCTGTATTTTCCCTAACCCAGAATCATCAATATCTCTAAGGATCCCAGGGACCTTTCACTGGGGAATAGTATTTAGAAATCAAGATCTAGGTGTTGGGTGTGCTTGTTGCTACTGGAGTATTATTGCTTCTAGGTTTTCTCAGACAACAAAACTAGGTAATAGATGTATGTATACTAACCCATGCACACACATATCTATGTTTCTGTATTTACACACCCACACATTGTAAGGTAAATAGGAGTTTATGCTGATGTCCCCAACCCTAATCCAGTATTGTGGAATTTAATATTCATATAACTAAACCAAGAAAGGTTCTCTCTCTCTCTGTTTCTCTCTCTCTCTCTTTCTCTGTCTGTCTCTGTCTGTCTCTGTTTATGAAGAAGTAGAGAAGTGAAACTCACTATCAAGTGCATCATGCACTTAAAGGAATGAGGACTCAGTCTTTTTTGTTTCAGCTTCTATCTTTGTATTGGTCTTACTCTGTTGGGTCCTTTCATATGTTAGGGGGCCTGGTTACAGAAGCTCTAGATTCATATCTGTATAGCTATCAATTTAAAAAAAGTTCTTCCTTTGTGTCCAAACTATGGGATGCACCACTGTGATGTGCCCACTTACACCTGTGGGAGAGTTGGGTGTGGAGGGGCCAGGAGAAGTAGTCCCATTCTAATAACATGGTTGGAAAGGACATTAGTTCCCCAATGGTGATTCTTAGTATTAAAAATAAAAGTGGAGTGGGGAAGAATGCTGAGGAAAATGAGTGTGCACTATCCTGTTATATATTTATATTAACATGTAAATAGTTATAGTTGGATATAGCTATGGATATATATGTGTGTGTGTGTGTGTGTGTGTGTGTGTGTGTGTGTGTGTGTAGTAAGGTACGCAGGTATGCAGACCTCAATGTTTAGGAAGGCATTGTCAGCAATGCTAGAAACCTGGCCTCATACAATGTTGCAAAGAAGAGAAACCCATTTCTGGGGTCAAGAGAGACATCGGGAAGCCTCTTGTATGGCCCTTGCCCTTTTTAGCCTTGCTGGAGTCTTCCATTCTACCCATAATTAAGGATGCCATATGTTTTTTAAACAAGAGGGATCCTGTCTCTGATGGTGGGGGGACCCTGTTTCTGAAGGTGGGGGTCTATGAGTGTCTTTTGCCTTGCTGTCTCCCCATACCTAGTGCACAGCATGTGCTCAAGAGGAACAAATGGTTCTACCTTCCACTCCTTGGTTTTTCTTCCTGTTGCTGGTTTCCAGGACACCATATAGACAGGGACATGGAATCTCTTGACTGGGGTCTGCTGATCAAATCTCCCACCTATTACGCACAGGAGCTCCTCTGAGGCCTGGGGACCACATCTAACTGCTGCAGTATTGTCTTCTCTTATTGCATAGCCATTCTCCCTTCTTCTTGCCGTTCTTCCTCTCCCTCCTCTCTTCTTCTCCCTTGGCCCCTTTTTCTAACTTCTTGTCCACTCTTGTGTCCTCCATACCTTGACTGGAGGGACTTGGATTGCCACTGCCTGGAGATGACTCTCAGCACTCTTTGGAGATCTTGAACAATTTGAACCTCTTTTCTACTCTTGCTGGTGATCTCCATTGTCCAGCTTCAAGCATGAGGCTGATACCAAAGTGACAAGGAGAAAGAGAGCAAGCTGATTCCTTCCTTTACCTTTATCTAGAGAACACCCTAGAATCTCAGGAGCATACCAGGAGGAGAAAGGGAAATCAGGACAGACTTCCTTTTCTCATCACAGCAGTGATTTTGGGTCACTTTGGTTGAGCCAAAGTTTCTCTTCTGTTAGGAAGAGCAGGCCCTCTGTGGGTGTTCAGAACTGTCTCTCTACTTTTCTGGATAGAAAGTGTGGCCAAGGCACCTGCCTTGCTCTGTCTTTCACATCCCAGGCCAGGGGCCACATAGAGCACCCAAAGTTTGCAGGGGAGAACTCTCAGTAAATACCTGCACATGATCAAGGCCATGGAACAAGAGACCATGACTCAGTCCTTTCCCACAGAGTGGGAAATGAAACTTCTTCTGGTTTGGGACTTTTACATCCACCTCCTCTGAAACCCAGAAGGCCCTCAGCCAAGTGTTCCACTTCCTTCTCAGCCTTCTCATGCTCAATCAGCCTTTCATCCAGAGTTCAGCAAAACAGGCCTTCATTTCCTTCACTTGAAATAAATGCCTTCCAACTTCAGGGCTTCCTATGCAGTGAGTCCAAACTTGGTGAGGCTTCTTGATTCTTTCCTGGGACCATTTCAGGGGAATGTGGGAGTTCTATTACTAACTTATGCAGGACCAGGACCAGGACCAGGACCAGGACCAGTACTGATATGGGAAAAGTGAACTTCTTGACAGAAGGAGAAAGGAGGGACCTGATCCACCCACCCATCCATCCATTGATCGATTCAATTATATCTTCCAACTTCCTTTCTTTTATCCATGCCTCTTCTCTTCTTTTCCTCTTCTCCCTTTCCTCTTTCCTACCTTAGAAATATTTGTCTAGCATCTGCGGTGTACCAGCTTTCTCAGATTTGGGAGACTTCTTTAAAACATGAGATTTCCAGGACAAAATTTGGTCTTCATTAAGCCTCAAGACATGTTGCATGGTAGCTCCTTTCCTCAAATATTCCTTGAAACAGGATTTTGACAATTTGGATTCCTTTCCACCAGGTCCTGGGCTATGACAGGTTGTGGCAGTAGAACAAGAGCAGCAGGACTGAGATGACTCTGGGATTAGGCTGGTTACCAAGTATGATGGTCCAAAAGCAGACTGTTCTAACTCCTTTTAAGCACTGGTGGCACCAAGGCTCTGCAACCAGATGGCATTCCCAAGAGAGCACATATGTTCACATAAGTTCTAAGGCAGGTGGTCAGTTAGATCAGGCCCTCAGTTTAGGGAGTAGTTAGTGCCAAAATTTAGAGCAAACAGTGGGCCTGGAATCTACAGACAGAATATGGGCAGAGAGGACATGAGACAGGACAAATAGTGTACCATCTTTATTACCTGGCTTTCTTCTCAGAGTTGGGGGAGTGTGTGTGGAGTCCTTTCTGGGTTTCTTCAGCCAGTCAGAGACTTGACTCCAGCCTTATCCCAGTCTGTGGTAGAGAGCAACAAGAGGCTGTAAGTATAATGGGCTGCCAGATGGGCCATGCTGAGCAGGGAGGCAGAAGGCTCTCAAACATGAAAAGCAGCAGAAGCTCTTACACACATGCAGGTAATGATTTCCTTGGCTCTTCTAATTTAGCTTGGGGGCCTGGTCCCTGACACCAGCTGTCATCCTGTGTCAGTGCTTAGATTCATTGAGATAGGCCAGTTTTTTAGTTGGATGGCCAGAACTTTTATTCATTTCTGGGCAAGGTATAAATCACACCTTCTTATGCCTTTCCCATGGAAATGAGAACTTCTGGAGGCAGTGGAAAGAAGAGCTAAGTAGTTTCTGGAAGGCAAATACCATTCCATAGTCCGAAGAGTCATGATCAGCCACAGAGTCATCCATCTGCCCATCCATCCATCCATCCATCCATCCATCCATCCATCCATCCATCCATCCACATCACTTTCCTTTCATTCACTTACCCAGAAATCCTTTATCTACCCATTCAGCTGTTCACCTGTCATTCCTTTCCATCCATTCATCCACCCACCCTCTATCCATTCATCTATTCAATTATCTCTACCAACTTCCTTCCTTTTATCCATGCCTCTTCTTTTTCTCTTTTTCCTTCCCTCTTTCCTACTTTAGAAATATTTGTCTAGAATCTGCTGTGTACCAGCCTTCTCAGATTTGGGAGATTTCTTTAAAGCACAAGAAGCTTTCCAGAACAATATTAGGTCTTCCAAAAACCTCAAATTTGTTCATTCATGCCCAGGCATCTCCCACATATGGAACTCTCCACTTAGGGTTCCACGGAGGAAGAGATATGAGTAAAGAGATGAGGGGAAAAGAGAGAGAAAAATGGTTTCCAGTCTGGTGTTGCTGAGCCTTCCTATTTTGAGATACTAACAGCTACAAGAAGCAGAATGAAGAACCCAAGTCTTATGTTTATTTTGAATCTCTAAAGTTGCATTTCCAAAAGGGGTATAAATCAGCTAAGATGCTTGAAGAAAGTAAAGTGGACTGTTTTGTTGCAGTGATCTCTTATCTGGTCTCCCTGATCCGAGGCTTCCTATACTCGAGTCTATGCTCTTCACCACGATCAGAGTGGTCTTTCTACAATGTCTGTGTCCTCATTTCTGTTCTACCTGAAGCCTTTCACTGGCTCAGTGCTACTCAAAACCCAAAGGTCAAGTCCTTTAACACGATATAAAAGGATATTCATGATCTGGTCCCTGGTACCTCTTTAGCCCTGTGCCCTCTCTCTCCTGTTGTATACATTGCTTTCACACAGGAGTCGAGTTACTTACAGCTTCCCAAGGATTCCATGCTGGCTTATGGCCCTGCTTGTCAAACTTGCTCTTTTCCTGGAACTTTTACTGTGACTCTATTCTCTGCACTTCCTCTGAACTGTGCCTATTCATCTGCTGTTATGCTCAGCATTTGTAGTGTAATTTATTCGCTCAGGTCTGTCTTTCTTTCGCTCAGGTCTAGTCTTTCTTATCAGACTATGGGCTACTTGGGTGAAAGACTGTGAATTTTTCATCTTTGTGGTCCTGTGCCTCATTCACAGTCTGATACCTAGAAGGCACTCAGTGCATTTGAGGTGTGAATGGATGGGTAGATGGAGGAGGGAATCCATACAAGAGAAATGGGATGGCTTTGGGACACCATGGCTAAAGTGTCCACGTAACAGACTCTTGGAGAAGAAGACAAATGGCTTCTTCCTGAAAGCTCAGACCTTTGAGGAAGGAATTAAGCTATGACCTCAGTCATGCTGTCTAAGGTGTCTGGGCCAGGAATGGGGAACTTTGGGATGACATAGTGACCTGGTTTGGGACTCACTTCCTGTTTTCTCCAGATAAAAGTTTCTTGGCAGAGAGAATCAGCCAGAAACACCTGTGCTGCAAGGGCCAGGGTGGGGGTGTGGGATGAAGGCTGCAGAGAAGGAAGCCCATGATGCGCACTTCTGCGTGGATAAACAGAACATTGCCCTCTGGCCTCGAGGCAAGCACAGCCGCTACTCCAGCCTGATGGGGGCTCCACGTCCAAACCCACTCTTTGCTGCTCATTGACAAACCTTTGCTTCTGTTTCTTTTAGAACCTCCTCCCAAGCAAGATCCGTCTCTGGGCCTGCAGAAGTCTCTTGCCATCCGTGTGGGTTTAATCTGCTTGTCACTGGTTGTGGTCACCTCCATCGTGCTGCAGGCCATTCTCTGTAAGTCCTTAGGATTCATGGTCCCCTTGGTCCTTCACCACTGGTTGGCTCCTTCGAGTCCCCAGACCTTGTCTTTCCTGCTCTCTCTCTTCTCTCTGGCTTATGGTATTTCATTCATCTCTGTTCTCTCCATGCATGAATGGATGTTCTTTCCTTTCTAATATCTGGGAGGTTTTTCCATCAGTACTTGCTTGCTTGTGCTCTTCTTGCATGCGCATGCTCTGCTTTCCCCACGGAAGAGTCACCCTTTTATTTTCTAATCCCATATCTTTTCTTCCCAGCTGTCTGCCACTCTGAACTCTGGGTCTTGTGGAAAGCCCCCAACAGTGAACTCAATGTTCGCAGACTCTGCAAGGGACTGAGTTTCAAGGGAGTCCTCTGCCTCAGCTGACCAGATGGAGAATCTGGCCATCGAGCTAGCAAATCTCTGTGGCTCAGTCCCCTCACCAGGACCCCTCTGCGCTCTCTTCATTCTCCTGTCCCCATGGAGATCATGTTAATGGAGTCTTCCTACTCATCAGCTCTTCATGATCTGTGCTGCTGGCAGAGCCCTATTTTTCCCACCAGGTTTCCAGACAGAGTGAGGGGCCAGACATATTTGTCTCAGATTGTAGCTTCTTAGCAGCAACCTACTCTGCAATCACTTGCTGCCCCCCAGATGTTAATCTCTAACACCGCCCTTCTCCTGTACTCTCCTTTGATTGCTCTTGGTTTACTTTTGGTCCCCTCTGATGCACCCAAGCCTGTAACCTGAACAGAGTGTGAAAGTGGGCAGGGCAAGTGTTACGGCTTGTGTCAAGAGGTCCCCCCAAAGCCTCATGTGATCACAGGTGGGACTTTTCAGGTGTCTGGATCTACAGTGTGTGATGCAGAGAGTAAGGGTGTGCAACTACTAAATTAGTCTGCTGATTGATTTGGCAGAGTTCTGGGTGTGGATAACAGGAAGGCCCACCTTGGGTGTGCGTGTTATCTGCCCTAAGGATAAAATATAAGGGACAGATTGTTTTGCTACTTTGCTGCCTTCTGCCTTTTGTCTGACATGAACTATTTCTCCTTTTCCATGCCACCCTGCCTTGGGGCTAGCCAACTATGAACTGAAACCTCTAAAAACTGTGAGCTACAATAAACCTTTCCTCCTTTAACTTTGGATGCCAGGTATTTTCTCTCAGCAATGAGAAAAGTAACTAAGACAGCAAGGGAAGGAGAGAAGTGGCTGCTTGGCATGTTCTCTGGAGAAAAAGCCACTTCTGGATTAGGAGTCTGTACACCTGGTCCTTCCATGACCATGGAGGGGGCTGTGGGCAGACATGGGAGGAGTGGCACTGGCCCAGCTGAGATCCCTGAAAGGAGAAAGCCGGGGACCACTGCTGGGTCCTGGAGGGACCAAGTGATAGAAAGAGTGATGGGGTGACTGGGGGAATTCCTTTACCAAATTCATCCTGAGTACTCAAAGGAAATTCGTGACTGGGTTCTAATTCTTGTTTCTGCTTGCTTGTGAGGTCTCTCGTAGAGCTATCTTCTCACAGCCTGTATCCCCCAGAGTTCGTAGCCCATGGGGGAGCCCATCTCATGCTTGCTGTATATTAATGAATGATTGAAGAAGATTGGGAATCTTGAGCCTAACCCTCTCCTTCCTTCCCTTTATTGCCCTGACAATATCCAGTTTCCTCTCAGCTGACTTCTTGATTTTTTCCAACCTAGATCCCTGGCTTATGGGCACAGTTTCCAATGTAAAGACCAGTGCTGAGTTGCTGAAAGGTCGTGTGGACAACATCAGCACCCTGGGTTCTGAAATTAAGAAGAACAGTGGTGGTGTGAAGGCAGCTAGCGTTCAGATCCAGACGGTGAATGCCAGCTTGGATAGTGTGCATTCTCAAATCCTGATGCTGAAAACCAGCGTGGAAAAAGCCAAGGCACAGATCCAGAGCTTAAGAAAAAAATGGGAGGAAGTCGATCATTTAAATACCCAAATTCCAGAGTTAAAAAAAGATATGGATAAAGCCAGTGCTTTAAATGGAATGGTCCGGGCGCTGCAGGGCAGGATGGACAATATCAACAAATTGCTCAGACAACAAAGTAAGTGAGCCAGGAGATAACATTGCAGGCTGACGAGTGGCCCCTGAGACCTTGCCATCTTGGTCATGAGACCATTGGGCTAGTGGACGAGCAGGGAAGGGGCAGGCACGGACTAGAAAGTTAGGGAGAAAGGGTGTAGCACTGGGCTCAAGGAGGACATAAGGGATTTTAGCAGAGAAGACACTATAGTCCAACTTGGACCCCCACACTAAGGCACAGTGCCTGAAAAATTTAGGGAATAGATTCTCTGTCCTGGCCCAAACCACAACATTTCCCATAAGGTTCCTTATTTCAAACCCTGGGCTTAGTCACTTGTCTTGGCCAGTGGAGAATCGCTTTTCCCTCATGGGAAGGTCAGATTCGTGGTCCATCCCCTCCCACTGTCTCTTCTCCAATCCCATAGGCCCTCTTCTCCAGTTTCAGTTAGACTTTCAGGATCCAAGAGAGGGTTCCCTAGCTCCTATACCAGGCAGGACCCCAGGATGTCAGAGCCCAGCCCCATTCACTGCTGTCTCTGGTATCTCACTCAAGTACCCTATCCTGGCCCTCACCCTAAGGAAACAGGACCCTGCATTCACCTTCAGCCCCTGTTCTCCAGGTGACATCCTGCAGATGGTTTCCCAAGGCTGGAAATTCTTCAAGGAGAACTTCTATTACTTTTCTCGCACCCCAAAGACCTGGTACAGTGCGGAGCAGTTCTGTGTGTCTAGGAATTCACGCCTGACTTCAGTTACCTCCCAGAATGAGCAGGTGAGTGCCATTCCCATGTGGTCTGTGACGGGGGTGTGCTGCTAGCTGTCTTGGGGCATCTGGGCAAGATTATGTGGTAGAAACAAAATCCCCAAATACTGGCCACCTAACAAGGGAAGATTATTTCTTGTTTACACTACATATCTAACAAAGAATGCTCATGGTGGGTACTCAAGGACCTAAGCTGGAGGAGACTTAATCTTAATGTGTCTGCAATTGCTAAGGCAGGAAAAGGGAACATGGCAAATTGTGCATTTTCTCTTAAAGCTTCTCCCCAGAAATAACCATATCAATTTTGCTCACATTTCAGTAGTGAGAGGAAATTATGCAGTATTCCTAGCTTCAAAGAGGGCCGGGAGGGGTGCTGTGTCTCTGGGCCCAGAAAGCAGAGGTATTTGTCAACAATATACTGCACGACTCAAGACACTTCCTTCTTTTGGAGGCAGGCTATTGCCCAAGTCCCCTCCATCTGCGAGATGGGCAGAGCAGGTAAGAGCATGTGCTCTGGAGTAGTCTAAAGTCCTAACCTGCTGTCTAGTCCTAGGGCCTTGTGTAAACTGCTTACCTCCAGTAGGCCTCAGCTTATGCATTGATGAAATATGTATAGTAGTACCTGCCTCAGAGAATAAAGGAAGAGATGCAAGAGGACATCTTTCCCATGTACCTCGCATGTTTAAAGGGCTTGTTGACTTTAGGTATTATCATCTGGGCCACTCTCCTGGGATCCCGGCTCTGGAGTTTAACTGACTCTCATACTCCTGCACCTGCCTCCAAGGAATAGAAAGGCCTGAGCCCTGACTTTGTTAGTTGCAGAGAAAACACAAATCAGATTTTGGAAGATGGACTCTGGGTTCCAGGCAAGGGCAGGAAGAGGTCTGAGAGGAGCCAGTGTGCAGAGTGTGTCTGTGAGTTCAAGGACTGTCGCTGAGTACAAGTGAGGGAGACCTAGAGACAGGTGCTCGGACTTCAGGTTGTGGCCTGCACCTTTGCTCCCTCTGTGTCCCCCACAGGAGTTTCTGTACAAGACAGCAGGTGGAGTGCAAAGCTGGATCGGCCTGACCAAGGCGGGGAGTGAAGGGGGATGGTACTGGGTGGACAACACTCCGTTCAACAAGGGAAGTGTGAGGTGAGCCCCAGCACCTTCCTTTCCAGCCTGACTTTCTTGGGCCAGGGCCAGGGCCAGGGCCAGGGCCAGGGCATGGATGGCTGTGGGTATTTCCCATGTGCACAGGGTTTGTGATTTGTCCTTGTCCTAGGGACAGGACGAGCCTTGGAATTGAGATGCTGGTTACCACTGCCACTCACTGAGTGTGGATCCTGGGACTGATCTGTGACTCTCCATGCCCCATGGGGTTTGGAAGCAAGGCCATCTACCCAGCTTGGGCAGGGATCTCGATGGAAGTCTAAGTTTTTGCAGAGTGGGTTTGTGGGTTTGAGGGTGGCAGTGCGGTTTGACCTGAATTTGGAGCATGTTTAGAGGCTTCCTGGTTAAAATGTCACCAGCACCCTACTTCTTAGGCTTGGGCTCTTCCTCTGCTATCACCTAGGACAAAAACTGGGATTGAAGTAACTTATTTCCTTACTGGAAATAAATTCTTTGTTTTCCAATTTTGTAAATATATTTTTATTTGGTTTTTCACTCCGCAGTTTCTGGCTTCCAGGGGAGCCCAACAATGTGGGGAACAGTGAACACTGTGTCAATATAAAGGTGTCCTCGCTCCAGTCCTGGAATGATGATTCCTGTGACATTAAGCTCTATTTCATCTGTAAGCAGCCCTACGTTCAGTCAGAACCATGATGGCCAGTCCCCAGTTTTACCCTGTGAGCTCCAGTGCTTGTCAAACTTGAGGAAATGTCCTCCTTGTCCTTAGTACTCCAGGATGACTTTGTACCTTAATTTTTCTTGCTTCAGAATTGTCCCCAAGTGTATGTTGGAGGTCATCTGCTTTGCTTGGGAATTCTATGACCCTATAGGGGGCTGCTGGAATGGGAAGGACTTGGGTTAAATGGAAGAGGAAGGAGGAGATGACTTAGAAGCTCATCTTGCCTTGGTGAAGAAAATCAGCACTCCAAAATCTGTGCTATCACTTTGCGCTTTCCCATCCCTTTAGAGAAGCCTCACTTATTTCACATTCAATTTACATAAAGAAATGATCATGGGCCGGGGATATGGCTCAGCAGCACAAGCACTTGCCTGGCAAGCATGAGGTCCTGAGTTCGATTTCTGATACCAAAAAAATAAATAAATAAATAAAAAGAAATGATCATGTTTGAGGAGATAGGTATCTTTAACCAGATTGAAATTTTACACAATGGATATATGTACTGAAACACATGGTACCCCATTAATATGTATAATTTTTGTTTTTATGCATCAGTTAAAAATAAATTTAAGTTTAAAATAAATTTTAAAAAGAACAGCATGTAAAAAAGAGTTGCTTCATATCAATCCAGCAAGTCTCCTGACAGGGTTACTCAGCACTTTTCCTGGTTGATCTCCCAGAATTCCTACCTGCCTGCTTCCGAGTGCTGGTTGGTGGCTGGCAGATGGCCGTGTTTTCAGTGGGAATAGCTCTTCCCTTGGCCACTCTGTTCATAGTCCCAGATTCCCATTGCCCTCTCCATCCTTGTTCTCTGCAGCCTGAACCCCTCTCCCCTGCGGAAAGGTAACCTGGTTCAGGTCAGGTGTTGACATGGGCCTGTATGTTCTTTGGAGTGGTGCCAACAAGCTCCCTCCCTTATTCCCACTCACTTCTGCCTTGGTAGCCCGGACGCCCAGCCCTACCATCATCATCTTCTTCCCGTCCTCATCTCTGACTATCTGCCCTCACCACCGCTGCACCTCCTCTCTCCAGGGGTTTCCTCTCCTTCTGTGCCTTATGCAGGAGAGTACTCTTTGAGTACCAAAAAGAGTTCTCCCAAAGCTTCTATAGGAGAAAACACTACCTGGCTCAGGGCCTCCCTTGGCGTGCACTTTGTCATTGCTGGTTGCTTTGGTGGATGTATGGAAATGGCTGTCTGCTTCACTGGACATGAAATCCTGGGGTACCCCGGGGACACAGTTGGAGGGTCAAAAACATCAAGGACTTGCCCTAGAAATGCCACAAAGTATGAACAGTACTTATTTCTAGTTTTTGTGGAAATTAAGGAGAATGAGGTCTACAATGCTATGATGATCTCTCTTCTCAGGTGTCCCTGGACAGTCTTCTGTTTCCTAGCTTTGTTCCCAAGGAGGAGGTGCATCAAGTTATCCATTCTTCACAGAGATCTTATTCACAGGATCCAGGTCCACATCCCAAGGAGCTAAGGCAGGAATGCAGGATGGGGTCACCCTAGACAGGGAGCAGCAGAGAGAAAGCAGGAGGGATCACAGGGTGAGCACTGCTGTGGGCTCAGCAAAGATGTTCTACTAGGGTCTCCATTAGTGTTCTGGGGAAAAGATACTTTCTTCAAATGAGTATGGCAAAGGCGTCAGAGCTGAGCGCATAGGCTTAAGTGGCATCTTTGAGCCCCACAGAGCTCCAAACAGTTCACCTCAAGTTCGTCCGCTCTCCTCACCCAGCTGAAAGGCTCCCGCCTGGTTAATTCCCACCTAGTTTTCAACTTAATGGCTTTTGGTTCCCTGCTAGTCTGGGAATCTATTCAACCGGCCAATCACATCCTGCTGCAGGAACGGTGTGTGTGCGTGGGGCCCGGGACCTACTTCTCTTGTTACTAGGATCCTAGCTGCACACAGCCCTTGCTGGTTTGCTTTCCTCCAGGGGTAACCCCATGGGGCTCTGCAGGGCACGTGGTCCTTCCTTCCCAGACTGAGAGAGTATGTGACTAGTAAACTGCTGTTAATCTCATCTGTCCACTGTCATATGTCATGTGTCTTCCCATCTGGTACTATTTAGAGTGGACAATTGTTCCCTCACCAAAAGGTGAACAGGAGATGATCAGAACAAGGCTGGCAGGGATCTATGGTTCATCCTGGTGTGAAGAGATGAGCTGGAAAAAATCAGACCATTCTTTGGAAAGAAGTTGAACCAGGATATATGCAGGGGATGAGGCAAATAAGAGACAGAAGTTGGGCTAGAGGGCCTGGAGTTAGAGAAAGGCTAAGTGCCATCATCTGGCACCTGTAGAACTAAAAATCAGCAGAAGCAGAGAAAAGAGGTGAGGTAGAGAAGGAAATGTGCAGAGCAGAAAGCGGACAGGATGCAGAGGCAGAGGCACCACAGACCTGCCCGGCAGCTCCAGCTCTGGCTGCTGAGGCTCCCTGTGCTGCTTTGCCTTAGAACCTCTGTCTGCCCCAGTCTTCTGGTTCCTGTGCACCTAGCTTCCTTCTCCCCACTCCCACGCATTATTTTCCTTTGAAACTGAAAGAGCCTGAGTCAGTGTGGATGTGTTTTCACTTGTAGCCTGCGCCCCATCCTGTGACCTGCATGCATAGCACTGCCTGTGCTTCCTCCTTCCTGGAAGCTGGGACAGCTGCTGCTATGCACTATCCTGTAACCATGGGCCCCACTTCCTACCTGTAGGGCTTGCTTCTCCTCTTTTCCAACAAAAACCCAGGATTGGATTGCCTGCCCATCCCTGAAGCACTGAGGAAGTACAGGGAGATGGGTTATGTGTATCAAGCCACCAGCTCGTTCCTCCATCTGGGGTTCAAACTTGTCCCTATCAGATGGACCAAAGAAGAGGGAAGTGTGGTTCTCAAAGTACACCCTGGCATGATGCCTGAAGCAGGGAGCCCTGTGAGCCCTCAGCTGCCAGAGCCGCTGTCTGCACCTTGTTGGATCTAGTCACTCCTTGGATAACTCCTCAAGCTGTGGTGTTTAGGGACTGCTAAGAGACCTGAAACATTTCCTGATGTCTGCAGTTATTGGTGCACAGTTGCTAAACTTGGGCATCTCCAAGAGCATATACCTTGTTTGGCCTTTGGGTTAGAGCAAGAAAAACAAACAAGTGAGGGACCCCACCTGTGGAGTGGTTCTGTAAAATGCTATTTTTCCTTGGCCAAGGAACAGAGAAACCTCTAAGCGAGGCTATCATAACCTGACTTTTCTTCCCTGGTGGGCAGATGGTATTCGTATGCAAAATATAAGAGCTGGGACTCTGGGCTAGGGTGGGAGGTGGAAGAAATGGGTGCAGACAGGGAAGGCACGGTGAGAATTCCTGCTGATCACAGTTGGGACGACTTTGCCCTTCTCTGAACCAGATTCTGCTGTTTTGCTGAGCAAGGGATCCCCAGGGTTCTGCTTTCAAGGCCCCTAGAGAAAATAGTTCTAAGTGAATCCAACCTGACTCTTCCTGTGTGTGGGGAAACAGAAACCAAGATGGGCCCTTTCCTTGCAGTGCTGTCCCTGGGGAGGAAACTCGGTGGTTCCCATCCCCTGCAGAGAAGGGGCTTGGCGGATGGTATACCTGGGCTGTGACTGGGGCAGAAAGGGATGCTGCATGGTCCTGTAATGCCTTTCATCCCATCATATCAGCTTTCAGCAGGTGGGAGGTCAGACATAAAGATGGGGCTCTGCACTTACATGCCAGGCCCCTCCTCTATACACGCACGCACACACACACAGGAGTGCACACAGAGTCCCCATGATGAGTCTGGTGAAGGCAGCCAAGCTCCAGGTTAGGTGCCCATGGACTGGCTGCTTCCTGAGTTGTCAGCAGCCTCCATGGCACAGGCTCCTCCTAGACCCATGCTGCAATCCTGGTCCCTCTCCATGTGGCTTCCCCACCACTGGACTCTGCAGTCTTTTTAGTCAATGCCTGGAAGCCTATGGGAAGTTGACCCCAGGATTTGGGAAAAAGATACGGGAAAGTGACATGGGAACTGAGGGTGAAAATAGGAAAACAACAGTGCAATATGGGTAGAACAAGCCATCTGCAGGTCTGTGATTGACAGCTTGAGTGAGTGTGATGGAAGCTGACATGTAATTATACTTTTATGAGTTAAAGATAATGTGATCCATTTCAGTAGGATTATAACCACCTGAAGGTAATGGGGGAAAGAGAGAACCAAAGGACAAGAATCTGTCAGTGTTGTGGCTTGTGTCTAGATGTCCCCTCAAAGCTTCACGTGGCGGGGCTTCTTTAGAGGTCACTGAATCTACAGTGTGTGATGCTGAGATTAAGGGTATTGATTACTAAATTAGTCCACTGATTGGTTTCGCATAGTTCTGAGTGTGGATAATGAGAAAGCCCTCCCTGGTTGTGAGTTCTATATGCCCCAAGGGCATGTAGCCTGGATATATATAAGAGACAGAAAGAAGGCAGCTGTAGTTGCTGCTTATCACTTGCTCCTTCTGCTTTCCTTGCTGCTTTGTTGTCTCCTGCCCACCATGAACTGTTTCTCCTCTGCAGGCACCCTGTGCATAGTACCCTGCTTTGGAGCCAGCCAACTATGAACTGAAACCTCTACAAATTGTGAGCTACAATAAACCTTTCCTCCTTTAACTTTTGGTGTCAGGTATTTTGTCTCAGCAATGAGAAAAGTAACTAAAACTATCAGTATCCCCAGAACCGACTTTGACAGGGAGGCCTTGAGCAGCCAGTGAGAATGTTGGTTGTGTTACCCCCTCAGTAGGCATGGGGACATCAGGCTTGCATAGCACTGTCCCCTGTGATTCCTCACTTTCCTTTTTTTCTAGTTCTAGGTCCATCAAGTAGCAGGAGTCACCTGAAGCAGTATTGTTTTTCCCTCTTAGAAGGAGGTTATAATTCCCATTGAAAAGCAGAACACAGCCCAGTCTCATCCACTAGATCCTTTTGCATTAGTGTTGAGAATCTGGTCTTCTCAGGGGCATAGAGCCAATCTACAAGAGGTGAGATCTTGAATTCAGTCAGGCCCTGCTTGGTAGCTTCTGACAGGACTTCTAATACCAATGCTTGTTTTTTTCTGGATACCAACCAACTCTGTGGCACCAGCTGGGCCTCTAGTAGTATGAGTAGATTCTGACACTAGCTCCCTAAGTTTCAGACCCCACAGGATAAGGCTGTGGTCCACAAGAGGAGTCCCTAGGTGACCCACACTTTGGACTGGCTGATTATAAATCTGCAAGTTCCCCTCAGTTTTGATGATTCCTTAGAACAACTCAGAGAATTGAAAAAAAAAAACACTAATATTGAAATTTACGGTAAAGGATGCCATCAGCCAGATGAAAAGGGACCTACGGTGAGGGTCAGAGAGTACTGAGCACAGGACCTCTGCACAGTCAAGGTGGGCGAGTTCAGTGACCAGGAGGTGCCTGGAATCTCACCATTCAAGAGATTTTATAACCCGGTCTCCAGTCCCTCCTCCAACCTGGACTCTGAGAGTTGGGAGTTGAGGTGAGTGGCTGAAAGTTCCACCCTTTAATCATGTTTGGTCTTTCTGGGGGCCTGCTGCCATCTTGAAACTATCTAGGGCTCCTGAGTCAGTGCATTAACACAGACTCAGGAGTAGCGGAAAGGGGCTCGTAATGAATCGTAACAGACACATCTATCACCTAGGAAAGGGAGGGTTTTAGAAGCTCTGTGTTAGAACCTAGGACAAAGACCAGCTTTGGGGGGCGGGGGGTTGGGCCCATAGGATTCCCACTGAGCTCTATTGCCAATCCTTAATTTTTAAAAAAATTTTGATACAGGCTTGAACTTGTGATCTTCCTGCCTCAGCCTCCCAGAGAACCAGGATTATAGATGTGTGCAACCATGTCCAGCCCAAATATTTTTAAAAAACCATCTCAGGGCCGAGGGTATAGCTCAGTGGTACAGAGCCTGCCTAGGATGCACGAGGTCCTGAAATTGATCCCCAACACTGCAAAAACAAATGAGCAGCAACAGCAAATACAAAATACCTCACCTCAAGCGCTTCCCACAGCCCCGTTGTAAGATACTGAGTGGACAGTGAGTGCCCCCGTCCCTTGCATTGGTCTCCTTCACTGACCCTGCAATCCTCTACGATGTGACCATTTACTTAAGAGATACTGAGGCTAGGAGAATGAGTCAGCTGCAGTTACAAAGATGTTTTCTCTGCAAAGCTGAGGACCCCTTCTCCCCCCGCCTTGGTGTCTAGTCTTAGCCCCCAGAGAACAATAATTTATAACTTTGGGGTAGAGACTAGCATTTGGGGTACTGAGGGCAGGGGTGCTAATGCAGAGGAGGGCTTGAGACTGATGGGCTCCATGGGGGCCCAAGGGGAAGGACTGCACTGGCTGAATTTCTGTAGAGTCAGCAGGGAGACAGGCAGTGTGGAGGATGGTCATGATCTTCACAGCACAGTATAAATCCGGGGTGTTTCAGTTTCACACCCACTGCTGCTGACTTGCAGGACGGCCCTTCCAGAGTGACTGGGTGAAGGACCCGGAGATGAATGGTGACACAGTCCACTTCTGCACAGATGAGGAGTGTGTCTCCCTGCATCCCCGAGGTGAGAAAAGTCAGGGTGTCGCCTGCTTGTCCCCCAGCCCTCTGCGCTCCTTAGTGGCAGGCTGGAGCTCAGCTCATCGCTGTCTTGGCCTTCGCAGTACACAGGTAATGGTGGGGAGTGGACCAGGCAGAAGATAGGAATCCAGGCACAGTGCAGTCTCTGCACGAAATCTCTCCAGACCCCGCACACTGTTGGTGGTAACCTGGCAGGAGAAAGAGGGTGCACTTTCAGTTCAGATGGGCCTAGTTTTGAACTCCAGCTCTGCATGTGGGCTGGCCCTGTGAGGCCTCTGGGAATCTGGGCTGTTTTCCACAGCCTGACTGGGTTTTCCTGGGTGCCCTTTGTTCCTCACCACAGCTCCTCGATGGCTCGGTACAGCTCTCTCAGAACGTCCTCAGCGGCATTCTGATCCCAGCTGGGGAGGCCCCAGACTCCCCAGTGTGTGGTGAGACAGCAGAGTGGCACCAAAGGGCTATGGTTTTGCTCTAGGACTCTGAGGTCTGGGCTCCTGCTCGGTCCCTCTCTCTTACCTATTTTCCTCCCTTTCTTCTTTCATTAAGACCACACTTTTGTTGACCTACACTCTCTGCTGTGTTCGGTCTCCCGCTGCTCCGGCCTCCTTGGGATTCTGACAGCCCAGTCTAGGCAGCATTCCTGCCTTTGCATTGCTATCAGTGCCCCATGGTGACCTCCATGAATTCTTACAGTTTCCCCTTCCTTCTCCACAGCCCCGTGGGTGGTAAGTGTGGCAGATATTCTCATCCTTCCTGCACAGGGTGGGAGCTGAATCAGACAGCCCGGCTCTGTCCCAGCCCACATTGGCTCCTCTCATCCTGGACTCTGGCTTCTCCCCTGCAGGGATGGACCCCGTGGCAGTGACTCCTACCGCCCCCAAGATGCGCAAGCTTATTCAGGCTGCCATGATAGTCATAGCTGGGGCCACAGTTTCCTCTCTTGTGGCTCTCTTTGTTGTGGGTAAGTTCCCAGGTGCTGAGAACCTCACTAACTCGCCTTCCTGCACAGAGGCCCAAAGCGGCCCAGATACATATTCTCTGGACTGTCTGCTCCCAGAAGGGACCTCCCATTGCCATCCCAGGCCTGGACCACAGCTTTCCCTGGAGCAGAGACCACGATGCAGGGGAGAGCCTTCTAAGAGCTAAAGCTCATGGGGGGAAACTCAGTGTGTCCTTGGTGCCATCTCTGTCATTCTGGAGCCCTAACCCTTGTGGGGTGGCCTGTTCTCTTGGGCTCGGAGCTGTGAATGATGCTGACTCATGAAGGGGGTATCTCAGCTCTACAGTCCCGAAACCCTATACCGGAGGAGCCTCCTTCCTTCCAAGACTCTGAAGCCATGTTTTTGGAAGACAACACTACTGAACAGTTACCTGTGGAACCCAATAGTGAGTAACCACAGTGGGGCAGGGGCAGGAAGGGAGCTGGGGCATTCAGAAGCCCAAACCCTGGGGCCAGCTTCTTTTCCAACACCCTTGGGCCCCTGAAAGTGTTCTATCCTCCTTAGGAAAAAAACAATGTTTTATTTAAAAAAAAACCAGCTTTATGTAGGTATAATAAGCATACAGTCCAGTGCGTGTAGTTAAAGCACACAGACTGTTAAGTTTTGATGCTGTGTATGTGCCTGTGAAACCATCATCACAATCAAGATAATGAACAGATTCATCATCCAGCCCCAGAGCTTGCTTGTGGCCTTGTGTGATCCCTCCCTCTCCCTTCCTTCACTCCCAGGCAAAAACTGATCTGCTTGCAATAACCACAGATTACAATGTAGTTTTCCTTTGCTTTTGTCTCCTTTCTCCTTCCTTGCATTGTCTGTTTTCTTCTGTAGATTTTATCGTTTTTGGCTTTTATTTATTTAGGAATTTTTGCATAATTGTATGAGGATTGAAGTCCTTTGTCCCCCCATATGGACATGTAATTGTTTCAGTAGTATTTGTTTAAAAGATTATCATTTCTCTATGGACTGCCTTTGTATCTTTGATACAAATCATTTTGTCCACATTTCTGTGGGTGTTTTTGACAAGCTTCTCCTACATCCCAAGGCCTGGTCTTGCAACAGCACAGTGGCTGAAGTCTCACACATGCACCTAGATGGAGCCTGAGGAATCAATAATCCACTGGTACTCCAGAAAGGTTCCTTGACCGCTTGGGGTCTTCTCCCTGTACCTGTGGGAATGCTAGACTCAGGAGTGACCATAAATGTTTGAGATGAAGTCTCAATTCATGAAGTGAGCCTAGGATGCTAGCAGGACCAGAGACAGAAGCAGGCAGGCTGCTGGGAAAGGCTTGAGAAGAAAGGGGGCCACAGTATCCCTGAACGGCTCCAATGACCAAGGCCTCCCATATCCTCAAACTGTTTCATGGTGCTCCCTGCCCTATGTAACACTGGAGTGCCAGCCCTTTGAAAGGTGCTGTACCAGTGTCCCCTAGAGGGTATGGCATGCCTGCGCCCTGGCCCCAGGGATTGAACAGTGTGCTTCCTCCTGGAATACTTGCTCCCTCACTGCCCCATGGAATCTGTGATTAGAAAATTTATGTTTGTAGTTTACATAGTGTTTCAGATCAAACAAAAGTGAATCAAGCAGATTTATGCCTGGTGTACAAATATACTGTAAAAAGTAAACATGGCTTTTGCTCATATCTATTTTTTCATAATGACCAATCTGTGATGAAATTTCTAGGGTAGAATTAAATGCCAACAGCTCCAAATGATAAAAATTGATTACTTTGAAGTTGAGCAATTACAATAGCAAAATAATCCAAACCTTCCCACATGACTGTTGGTGGCTAGTTTATAGTAGGCAGGTGTTTCAATCCACCTGACCCCTCTGTTCATAGACAACAGCTAGATAGGTCTTCAATTATTTTGGGCTTTTTGGCTAACATTATCAGGTGGCTCATCCCCAGGTCTTGCTGACAGCAGTGACTAACAGGCTGCCCGAGGAGCATGCAGGGCTCTGATGTGGACATTTCCCTCACAATTTGTAAGAGCATCGTGATTGGCCTATGTGATCTTCCCTACATATTTGGTGTTCTCTGCTTCCTCCCTCCAGATCACTACCACTTTGGTGGGCGACAAGAGTTTCAAGAGGCTATACAGACACTTAAAAGCCACATAGACAATTCCAGCACTTGGTATGTGGAGATCCAGACGTTGAAGCGCAGAGTGGACAATGTCAGTTGTCAGGTCCAGGGGCTTGAGGGCTATCTGGGAGACACCAGTGCTGACATCCAGAGGGTAAAAGGTGCTCTACAGAAGGCCAGTGCCTTGAGCGTGCAGACCCAGATGCTAGGAAGTTCCTTGGAGGGAGCCAGTGCTGAGATCCAGAAACTGAAGGGAGATCTGGAAAAGGCAAATGCTTTAACCTTCCAGACCCAGGATTTCTTAAAAAACATCTCAGAAAACACCAGTACTGAGCTCCGTATGCTGAGCAGAGGCTTAGGAAATGTGAACACCGAGATTCAAATGTTGAACGCAGGTTTGGAAATGGTAAACACCCAGGCCAGGTTGACAAACAGCAGTTTAAAGAATGCCAATTCTGAGATACATGCTTTGAGAGGTCGCCTGGATAGTTTCAATGACTTAAGGACCCAGAACCAGGTTTTAAGTAGTAGTCTGGAAGGAGCCCAGGCTGAGATCCAGAAGCTAGGACGAAGTTTGCAGAATGCAAATGCTCTGAACTCCCAGACCCAGGCCCGTCTCAAAGGCAGTTTAGATAACACTAGTGCTGAGATCCTGGCACTGAGAGGTCATTTGGAAATGACTGGTAATGAGATGCACCTGTTAAAAAGAGATTTGGAAACTGTCACTGCCCAGACCCAACTAGCAAATGGCCACCTGGAGCAGGCAGATGCTCAGATCCAAATGCTAAAAGCAGAACTAGGAAATGCCAACACCTTAAACTCCCAGATTCAGGTATTAAATGGTCAGTTGAACAATGCCAGCAGAGAGATACAGACCCTAAAACAAAGGGTGAAAGATACTGCAGCCTTAGATTCACAGATGCAGATGCTAGGGAGCAATCTGCAGAAGGCCAGTGCTGAGATGCAGAGGTTAAAAGAGGATTTAGAGAGCACCAAAACTCTAACTGTGAAAATCCAGGAGGAGCAGAGTCGCCTGGGGACCCTCCGTGCAGCCATTGCTTCACAGGAGCAGCTACAAAGGACCCAAAGTAAGTGGGAGAGAGGGAGATGGTTGGGGAGGCACAGTCTCTTGGGGGGATAGAGATTCTTGTCCTTTCCTCTTGTCCCTTCCACCTCTTCGCTTACCTCAGCCCGCATCTCCCTAGGTGCTAGAGACAGGAGCAAATCCAATGAGCTAGGGAGTGCTGGAGGTAGCATGAGGTGGCATTTTCCCTGTCTCAAATTGCTTATAATCTGGTTAGAGTAACGAAATGAATACCTGGGAAATCAACTATATATGGGGAAGATATGAAACAAGGACAGTTTATGCTAGTGGGGCCAGACGATTCTTTTTTTTTTTCTCCCTGCTATCAGAAATGGTGTAGCCTTATCTACAGACATACCACCCTGAACATACCCAAGCTTAGCTGTGCTCAGAAGCGAGGCAGGGTCAAGCCTGGTTAGTACTTGGATGGGAGAACTGATGTGGTCTTCAACAACTTGCTCAAGTCCTCTGAGCTGTATTTTTCTCATCATTAAAGTGGGAACAAACAGTGTTTGCTTCTCAGTGAATATCAAATGAGTTAACAAACGTAAGCCAATTTAACAAAGCACCTAGAATTCAGGCACTCACCTGAAATTTTACGGAGGCCCTATTAAATGTCAGGAGTATAAAGATGAACAGGACATGATGTCTACCTTGCCAGGTTTTGGGGCAGGAGGGCAGCCTTGTGTGAAAGACATGCAGACAAGTGTAAGAGGTGAGAAGTGAGAAGCAGGTGCTAGGAACTGAGGTGAAGGAGGACAAGAAGAAGAAGAAGGAGGGAGGAGGAATCTTCTGAGGGGCACAAATGGGGAAGACCTTTTGTGGGGAAGGATCCTAAGATGCTTTTTAAGAAGATGGCCCTTGAACTGAGTCTGTAAGGACTAATAGGTGTTTGCAAAACAAATAGCATGAAACAGTAATAAGTTCACAGGCGTGGAAACATGAAACTGAGGTGCTGAAGGCTTCAGGTAGCGTGACTGGCCTGGGAAGGTTATGTGGTGCAGGCTGAAAGGACAGCAGGCAGGACCAACAGCAGTGGCTTTGACGTTGCCTTGAATAGAATATAACCATAGCATGAAAGTTCATTTTACATTGTGATGCAATATAAATATGTAGAAGTGCACACACATGCGTGCACACACACACAAACACACACACACTCAAAAAGCGAAACTTTTACTGCATCGATGCATTCTGATATTATAATATATCCTTTATTTAAAAGTTTGTCATAACCTACTAATGGTGTGGTGAGTACAGTTTGAAAACACTGTGCTAGGGGATTAGAAGGCCTCGGAGACAGGATGGACAGCGAGGGCTCTGAGCCCAGCTGTCCTCCCCCAGGGGTCGAGGAGCTACTGAAGGGCTGCAAGGAGGGGGCTCACTGTACAGTCTCCCAACTGAGATAGGGGATCAAAGCGGAGTGGGAGCACTCCGTTCAAGGTTTGACATGCTGAGTCTGGGGTGCTTTGGGGAGATTCAAGATTCATCACACGCTATCTGGAGTTCAGGAGAGAGGCTGGGTGGCAGACATAGCTTTGGGGGCCCTGGCTGCAGCAACAGAGGGAATTTGCATGAGGCAGAGTGCTCTGTGAGAAGAGGGCTGAGGGTGGAAACATGAAGTTAATCTTTGGGGGCAAGACAGGAAGAGGTGATTTTGAAGGAGACCAACATATGAAATACAATGTGGTAAATATTGAAAAATGAAAGATGAGAAGACAACAGCTGTGTTCCCAAGAAAATTTTTGTATTTTCCATTTAAACCACTCCTACTGTTCAGTGAACTTCCATGGGAGGGTTTTTGTGGATTTTGATAAGCTTGATCTAAGGGTGAAGAGCTAGCAACAAGGAAGGGGAATGGGGGGAAAGAGAGAGAGAAAAGGAGAAGCAGAAGAAGAGGAGGAAATGCAGAATTGAGTGATTTATTTATTTATTTATTTATTTTTGAGACATGGTCTCACTACGTAATGCAGGCTGGCCTTGAACTCCCATATGTATCCCAGGCTGGCCTTGAGCTCATGGTGATCCTTCTCCCTCAGCCTCCCAAGTGCTGGGATTACAGGTGTGCGCCACCACGCCTGGCTAAGTGACTGGTCATGAAGAGATGTCTGAGGTCATATTTGGCCTGGGCGGAGTGGGAAGGGTGTGGACAGAGTGGTTCACCCCACCGTGCAGATGTGGGAACAGAAATGGAGGGTCTGGCATTAGCAGGGCCTCTTTCAGGGTAGAGTAGGAGGCTGCTTGCTAAGGGTGAGGAAGGCATTGGCTCTGGGAGAGAAGATGCGACTGGAGCAGCTGCCAAAGAGATGAGGCTAATGAGGGAGTCCTGGGGGTAACCTGCAGCATTCTTCTGCTACTCTGCCTTGGGTGAGGTATGTGTGGGGGCCTGGAAATCTTCCCTTCTTCATGCTTCTTCACGTGCTCGCTCTCCTCTTCCACCCCTCCTGTATCTTTTGACTATTATGGCAGAGCCGAGGGCTGTCCCACCTTTTTGGCACACTTTGGAGAATCACCCAGAGCTTAAAAGTTAGGCTCTCCAGAGCTTAAATTCCAACTCAATTTTGGGGGTGGGAGTAGGGGTCTGAGTTGCAGCCTGGGTGTCAGGATTTTTTTAAAGCTCCCTAGGTGGTTCTAATAGCATTAAGGTTAAGAAACATTTAACTTTTTCTTAAGGAGTCAAATAGATATTTTAGGTTTCTGGGCTATGACATCTGTGTACTGTAGTTTTCTAATCTTTGATTTTCATGATGGGTTCTTGGAACTTGGAGAGCATCAGATTCATCTGGAGGACTTACAGGACTGCAGATTTTTGTTTTGTTTTGTTTTTTGAGACAGGGTCTCGATCTGTCATTTAGGCTGGCCTTGGACTCACTATGTGACCCCCGCTGATCTCCAACTCAGTGATCCTCCTGCTTTAGTCTCCTGAGTGCTGGAATTACACAGGCGTACATGGGTGGATAGGACCACAAATTGTTAAAAGTCAGGTTCACATTGAGCAGGGCTGGGTTGGACCTGAGAATGTGCACCAGCCAGGTTCCCAGACAATGCTGATGTGGCCAGTCTGGAACCACACTTTGGGAACTCCTGTTTACACACTACTGTCTCTTACTGAGACATTTGCCTTTATGTTGCAATTGATGTTCTGGTTGATTAGAAGTGCTTTCTTCCTATTCAGTTGCCTGCAGGTTTGAATTTTTTTTATGGTGAAGTCTAAGCTTCTTATGATTCTTAAAACCTCTTTGTGTTTTCTATTGCTCATGGGGGAAAATATCCAAACTATTCACATGGGATGTGTGATTTAGTGCTGATGAACCTGTTTTGTTTTGTTTTGTTTTGTTTTGTTTTGTTTTATTTCCAACCTTTAAACAATGATCCTACATCATCTGCTCAGTTACTTGGTACTGGCACCATGCTGTGCCATTACTGCTTTGATGCTTACCCTTTCTCCTGCCGGCAATGCTCTCCCGGGCACTGACTCCTAGAAAACTCTTCCTCAGTCTTTCAAGACTTGGTCTAAGTGACATCTCACTGAGGATGCTCTTTCTGTGCCCCACCTCCCTCCCAGAGGAAGCAGACCACACTCTCTTTCATGCCTCTGTTGTAATGGGCACATGGTTTTAATCAATGCATCTTCAACAACTTTTCTCCACCTGTGTCACTTACTGGACTCTGAGTTCCTCGAAGGCATTGATCATTCTTACTGATCTTTGTATAGCAGCTCCTAACTCAGACACTAAAGATTGTTGAACCTAGAACACAAGAACAAGGGGATGAGGACCTGAGCCAGGAAGTTATATTTTACGTGCTTGTGGTGCAGATGATGCTAGAGAGTACAGCGTGGATGGTGTGTGGGTGGTGGTGGTGGTGAAAGACCTCAGCTCACAGGAGCCATTCTTAGAGTCTGGAGACCGTGAGGACAAGCAGATTAGGATGGCCATGGGGTTGGGCAGCTGAGGTGGATGGAAATGAAGTTGGGAAATGGGGGAGGTTGTGATATGGCTTCTCCCAGGAAGATCATGGCACTGGAGGTGGGAGGACAGTGAGTGACCGCTGTGGATTGGGAGAAAGGACAGTACGGCTGGAAAAAGTATTTGGAAACAGTGCTGACTGCTAGCAGAGTGAGGCTCCAGGAGAAACTGGGACAGGTGGGTGTCTCAGGGCTGCTTCCCTGAGGACAGGTCATAGGGTAGTGGTGCAGCCTCCCAGGCTTTGCTCCTGCCGCACTGGGCATCAAGAGTTGCCTGAGCTTGTGAACCTCAGTGACCGGCCCTGGGACGGGTCAGGAAGTTCAGCTCAGGGACATCTACCATCAGCTTCTGTTTCTCCCTCTGCAATTTTTCTTCCAGATCAACTTCTCCAGCTGATCCTGCAAGGCTGGAAGGTCTTTGAGGGAAACTTGTATTACTTTTCTCATGTCAAGAAATCTTGGCATGAAGCTGAGCAGTTCTGCGTGTCCCGGGGAGCCCACCTGACATCGGTCACCTCTCAGAGGGAGCAGGTCAGAACTGTAGCTGTGGGTTGGCGCTGATGGAGTTTGTGTGTGGTAAGGGACTTGGGTGCTACGCTCCTCGCTTATGGTGGGTGTGGCAGAGAACTCCATGTCTCTTTCGTCAGTCAGGGAGAAGATATTCATTATGCTCCAGCAAGCACCTTGACCTGCAGGTAGAAGCACTGTCAGTGAACCCCCACACCCTCAGTAAATGAGAGAGCTACCCAAGAACAGCAGGGAGGGAGGGCAAAGGAAGATGGCACCAGGTGACAGCTCGGAAATATCAGGGATCTGAAATATCTCCATGCTTTTGATTTCTGTCAAGCCATCCATCCTGATGTTAATGTCACCTAACCAGGTAGCAGTGGAGGGCTCATGAACAGCTGACCTGAGCTTGTTCCCCTGGGGACCAGACATAGGACTCTGAGGACCATCAAAGGTAATACGGTTCCAGGAAGCCCACATACTGAGGTCCTTATCAGAACTGCCAGGTTAACAAAAGACCACAAAATGTTTGGTTCCATTTTACTTCCAGAACTGCCCTCTCCTGTGGCTCACCTGAGACTGTTGTTACAGGGCTGTAGAAGCACATGCTACTTTGTAAAACATATCTCAATAAGTTGCAGTCAGGACTGTCTTTGTCCCAGTAAAGGACATTGCCCTCAAGGGCAGGGACTCTTTAGGAACAGTCAACGTGGGAGAAGCTGGGCTTCCCCTGAGGGGATCTGGTGTTGCTGTAAGTCCTAGACAAGCCTTGGAAGGTGCAGGGCAGGGCCCAGCTCCTGCAGGGGGCTTTATGCTATGGGACCAGGGAGGGGCAGCCTGCAGAACCACCTCCTTGCACACAGGGTCACATAAACCCTACCCCTTCTCCATAGGCATTCCTCGTACAGTTCACAAGCACCTCTTACCACTGGATTGGCCTCACTGACAGGGGTACTGAAGGCTCCTGGCGCTGGACAGATGGGACACCATTCAGTAATACCCAGAGCAGAGGGTAAGTCTAGCCACTGTCTGGCACTGTCCAAGACACTCTCTTTGGCAGGTCTGGCTAGAGACTCTTGTAAGGCCCTGTCCTGTGTGTGTATCCCTGCACAGAGAGTGTCAGTATTGTGTGTGTGGTGTGTGATATGTGCATGTTGTGTGATATGTTTGTGATGTGTACAGTATGTGTGTGGTGTGTGCATATTTTGCACGTAGTAATGTGTAGTATGGGATGTGTGCAGTGTGTGATACGTAGTGTGTGATGTGTGTGATTTGTGTGTGTATGGTGTGATGTGTGTAGTATGAATTGTGTGTAATGTGTAATATGTGCATGGCATGTGTGGTATGTATATGTAATATGTGTGGCCCTTTTCTTTTTTTCTTTTTTTTTTTTTTTCTCCGGTACCGGGAACCGAACTCACGACCTTGCGCTTGCCAGGCAGGAGCTTTTGCCGCTGAGCTAAATCCCCAGCCCCCGGCCCTTTTCTTAAAGCAAAGAGTACAGATATATTTTCTCTGTGCACTTGCAAAACACTTAGGATCAACATAAAAAAGAAAAAAACCTCCTGTGAAGAAATACACATAAAAAGAGGAGATGGGGGAGCCTGAGAGGGATTTGGGCCTCAGCCTCAAGAAGCCACAGCAACTCTGCTTGGTCCAAGGAATCGAACAAAAGACACTGGGGAACATAAGAGGAGGAAAGACAATGAGAAGCTACTGAGGGAGAGGGTCCCAAAGTGGGCCGCAAAGAGGAACTGGAGACTGGGGAGTAGGTCTGGCTGGAGGCAGGGGCCCCTGCTAGTAGCTATAGGGAGGTGGTCTTGGAGGCCCGTGAGGGGCATCAGCGGAGGAGGCCTGCATGTAATGTGTGGTGGCATAGGACCTGGGTGACTCATGGGAGATCCAAATGGAAGCCCTTGGGGGGCATGCCCATGGGAGGAGGTCCAGGGTGAGGCATTCCAGGTGGCAGCCAGGATGGTGGCTGTCCCCAGCACCTGGAGACCCAGCATGAGGATGTCCTAAGCCATAGGGCATCCCAGGTGGTGGGAAGGGGTGAGGATGTGAATGCCCGTGACCCAGATGTCTGGAACCTAGGGTTCCTGCTGATGGGGGACCGTATCCTCCAGCCCCAAGAGGCACAGGTGGTGGGGGCATGGCCTGCGGTATTCCAGGTGGGAGGTGGCACTCATGGGGGGAAGGAGCCAGGAGGCGGCATGCGTGGCCCAGATCCCACTGGTGATACTACAGGATTGGGGCAGAGGGTGGAGGGAGTGTGTCAGCAAACAGCTGATGAGAGCGGTCAGCCCGAGAGAGTGGGTTTTGGGCCGCCAGAAGTCGTTCAGCAGCTGAGCCATGCACTCACCCTTAGAGTCCTTCTTGAAGGCATAAGACACTGTGATAGGGCGATTACAGAGATACTGCCCATTTATGGTCTCAATGGCTGCATCTGAAGCATCAAATGAAGCAAAATTAATAAAGGCATAACCTTTGGAGTTGCCTGTGTCAGGGTCCCTCATAATCCTGGATGTTTGTAAGATGACCCCAAAGGTGCTGAAAGTATCATAAAGCAGCTGCTCATCAATCTCTGGGTCCAGATTCCCAATGAAAATATTGGCTCCTACATCCAGGTTTTTGTTATGAGTTGATGCTTTGTTTACCCTTACTGGCTTCCCCTAGAGTTTGATCATGTTCATCATCCTAATGGCGTAGTCAGCCATTAATTCAACAAAGCCATAACCTTAGTGCTGGCCAGTGACTGTGTCCTTTGGCAGATGGGTGTTGACTACTGGCCCAGCCTGGAGAAAGAGTTCCCACACAGTGTTTCACTAACCTCATCAAGGCCCCCCACATGCACAGTAGCATCCTGATTCCATTCAGGTATCAGCCCTGCAGCCATGACAAAGGAGCTCCTGCTGTCTCTAAGCAGCCTGTGGTATGTTTAAGGTCCACAGAGGGATGCTAGGAAAGAATGCTAGGTCTTGGTGCTGTCTGTGAGTGGGTCTTCTTGCTTTTTTGTTTGTTTCCTATCCTATGTCATACTCAGACCTGGTTCCAAGGGACCCTGCCCTCCACTGGAAGGCATCTGACTCTGAATTCTGGGATAGGGGCTTGCAGCACACAGGGTGCTCCTTTCTGGCCGCGGGTCGTCAGTAACTTAGGGACGCTTCAGCAGAGTCACCCTCAGGGTATCTCTGACTCCAGCCCCATCCCCATCTTTGAGCCTCTAGGAGATGAGGGCCCCATGTCACTGCAGCTCTTTATGCCCCTACAGGGGGAAGGGACACTTGCTCTGTTGCTTGCAGGTTTTGGGACAAGAATCAGCCAGACAACTGGCAACATGGGAGTGGGGATACTGAAGACTGCGTCCATATTCAGAAGAAGTGGAATGACATAAGCTGCAATGCCTCCTATCACTGGATCTGCAAGAAGTCAACAGGCCAGGCGGTGGCCTGAGGCAGGCCAGAGCCAGGGGTCCTTCCTGACGGCAGTGTTGCGCCCTCCGCCCTGACACTGGACTCAGCCTGTCATCTGCGGCCTCCCATTGCCTTTCGTCTCCCGCCTTATCTTTCCATTTAGCTCTTTCAAACACGCTCACCTGACGTGACCCGGTGGGATCAGCAGCTCCTCCAGGAAAGAGCCTTGCTCTGCCTGCTTTTCTTCAGCAACCAGCACAAGCCTATGAGACAGCAGGTCTTCAATAAAGACTCATGCAATGAACACAAACTGCTGTTTGCCTGTCCCTGTGGTGGCCATAACACTCGCTTTTCCTGGGTTGCTTTTCCTTCCCTCAATGTCCCCTCTGTCCTGAAACAAGCATACTGTGACCATTAATCCTGTCATGTCAACTTCAGTAGACTAAGAAATGCCTAGCGGATAAGTAAAGCATGCTCCTGGGTGTGTCTGGGTGATCGCAGAGGCATGGCCTTGGGTCCTAATATGGTACCTCTCCTGTTCCTCTCTGGCACTGTTCCCCTACTCTGTGAAATGAGGAGCTGTGCTCTTCCATGTCCTTCCTGTGATGTTTCTGCCTTGGAGCCAGCTGAGGATAGACAACATGTGAGCCAACTAAACCTTTCTGCCTTTAAGGGCTAAGTGTCCCTATTGCGTCCAGCAGCAGGCAAGCTGATCCATACACATATATTTAGTTACAGGATTTAGTGCTGTATATTTTAGCTACTTCTTTGAAAACAGTAGAGGTTTAACACAAACCATAGAAATTTCATAAGGGGAACAAAGTCCCAAGAAGTTCCTGCCACCCCATTCATCCTGGAGGTTCCTTTGGGTGCAGATGGGCCTAGACCTCGGTTTTTCCAGCCTTTTAAACCATCCCAGCAGCCTGTTTCTCTCTCTCTCCTGTGGACTGGCTCCATCTCATCTTGATTTACTCTCAGATTCATGTTTCTGGCTTCATTCTCTTGTGGCGTCCATTCATCATTTCAACCTAGAATGAGAATTTCTGGAGCAGTTCTGTGCCAGGCTTGTGTGTGCACAGGAAATGCTATACGGAGCCCCACAGTTCTTTCTCAGCATACCTCCCTCCTCTTCATGATCTGCCCCCAAATTACAAAGCTCTCAGTCTCCCCAAACTTGCACTTCTCTCTGCTCAGCCCAGTGAAAATGTCATGCCCTGCTTAGGCCCCTCTGCCCTGCACTGTGGAAAGACCTCCAGGAAGAAAGCCTATGCGGCCTGAGGCTCACCTGTCTGCTTCCTTCTCTGGAACTTGGACCACAGTTTGCTGGTGCCTGTTGTCCAGTGTCTGAAAACAATTGTTCTATGTCCGTTGTCCAATTTTCTAGCTGCTTACAGCAAAAGAGTTCATCCAGTTACTCCATCATGACCAGAATGGGGAATCTGTTATATATTTTATGAATTTTTGTTATTGTTGTTGAACAAGACTTTAACTCATTTGTATTCATATTTATCAGCTTTTTCCCTTTGGCTTCTTAGATTTGCATCAGTTTTACAAACTCCTCCTCTATCCCAGGGTAGACATCACATTTACTTTATTCTTCTAGTACTTTTATAACTTTTATAATTTTGGTTTTTACTTTACTGTCTTATCTGGAATTTACTTTTGAGAATATTGTGAGGTAAGCTTCTACTTTTTGTAAAATATCACTAAATTACAATTCATTCTTTTTCACCCATTTGTAAAGACAAACTTCAAATACAATACTAAATTCACAAGACTGTTTCTGGACATTTGATATCATTCTATTGAACTCTGTTTTCCTTTATTGGGACAACATTATTTTAATTTTATAGTTTAATATATGTTTTGTCATTTAGTAGAGAAAGCGACCCTTTGGCTTTTTCAAAAATTTTAGGTCTGTTTTGTGGAATGGGTACTGAGGACTCGTGAATTTCATGAGGGCACAAGTGGTGGGTAGCCAGATTTTTCTTTAGAGAATCCCTGTATTTTTCATCTCAGACAATCCAGTGATCATGGAGACGCTCAGAAAGGAATTCTCTTAGCTTCTCCCTGAGATATAGAAGTTTGTCTTGCAGCTTTTTATAGGTTGTTAGGAAAGAGGGAGAAAAGAAGGCAGGGGGTGGGGTGGGTTTGGACATCTCACTGTTTGGTATAGAGATGGCTCCCAGGTCCTTCTGCTTTCAGTGTGGCTGTGCAGTCAGGGTATAGATAAAACTACCTGTCTGCAGTGTGCAGTGGTGGCAGCTATAGGGCATTACCTGGCTATAGGGGATGGGAAGAGTAAGCTCTAAACGGACTTCATAACACTTTCAACCGGTTCTGTTTCGGTCTGCTCTATGCTTCTGCCTTTAGAGAAAACTGATACTGCTGAGTCATGAGCTTACTAGTTTTTCCAGCATGCATTTCTCTGATTTTATTTACATACGCCAACTACCATCAGTTATAGTGTCACTTTTTCAGGTCTAAGTCAGTTATCACCCATGTATCCATGGCCAGCTTTCAACCTTTGCTGCTTTTCTTGTCTGTCTGTTGATTCCATCATCCTTGTCATCATGCGCTTTTCTTATTTTTAAATTTTTTTTCCTTTACTACTGTTGCAGTAGGTTTGGGGAGGAAACAGCTGAATGTGTGCACTGACTCTACCTCCTTCTTTCTAGAAATTCTTTTTAAGAATACTTTTAAAATTTTATTAGCACACATTGCAATTCATGAAGTTTACAATCATCTTGGGGAGAGGTTACATGTACATATTATAGCTTCTTTCTTTTTTTAAAATCCCCTTCCCTTTCCCTACCTTCCCCGCCTTCCTGTTCCCCTTTTTCTACTTGTTGATGTGATTTGTCCTAGCTCATGGTGTGGCCCGTAGTGTTTACATTAACTGGGGTCATCAGATTCCTATGCATGGTACATCTTTATTCCTCTCACTTCACCTTCCCCTCCTCACTCCTTGCCCTTGCTCCCTTGGACCACTTCCCTATTGCAAGAGATCTGTCTGCTTGTTCCATTCTATTCATCCTTTATTATTTTC